ATTTAGCACTTTAATTTTTTATAACAAGCAATTGTGCATGTCTACCTATTGATGCCAAACAACAATCAAATTTAGACTGCTAACACACTTGAAAAAATTCTTCATTATAATCCAATTTCTGTAGTGAGCCAATGTGTAAAAACTCTCTTTTCCTGGATCAAAATGATCTTCCTTATAGACAGCTTTGACATTTCTGTTGCTGCATAGCATTGATAGATGTGTAGAATGATTTGCCATCAGTTCATATGGACTTCAATTGTGCTTGCATTATAATATGCTGCTGTATATTGCTGGTCATTCGCTGCATTTGTAAGACAATTTATGACAATTATTCTTATTAAAAAAGAACAATGTTTGTAATGTGATCTTGATGTCTTTTCACTCAAATATGAAGAGGGAAATACCACTTGAACTTGCTTGAATCTAAGACTTAATGATGACATCAGTCCTAAGCTTGGCATAACAAGATATGGAGACACTAAAAAGATAGAGAAACAGAAAGGACAAAAAAGAGGGAGTGAATTTAATGGTAATTCAAACTTGTAACACAAGTAATGATTGTCAGTACTCATCGGTAATGGGTTTGAGACATAATGATATAACTAGTCAATTGCATTCATGTATACATGTACTTGTGCTCTACTCAGTCAGTGAGTCAGTGACATAGACATGTGACAATTCAGTTCCATTACAATTAAAAAGTGTTCCATTCACTCAAATACATGTACATTACATACATGTATGTATCACATACCATTATGAATGCTTCAGCCCATCCAACAAGTACAGAAATTATATTAAATGTTCCATTGTTTGAGTTCATCTTGACACATCCTAATAAATACAAAAAAGAATAATTGAATGTACATAAAACAAGGTCTCACTGCTTCTTGATTATGAAAATAAGTGTAATTCACTTGTTGCGTTGTAATAATAAGAAATCAATTTACAAAACTCAACTGTAAATGTATGTGTTAACACACTTAATAATAACAGATGAGTTAGAGTGGAAGAGACAGTGAATATTAATAATGATGAAATTGATAAGCACAATATGTATGTGAGCAAGATGTGTGTGCGATTATAGACTTATCGATTGGGATAGTCGAGAGAATTGAATGAGAGTCGGATGAGAGTCTGATAGGAGATCGAAAGGAGGTCGAGCGTTGAGAATTTGAAGATGATGAGTGCTCGAGAATTTAGTCTAGCAGACTAGGACTAAGACTAAGACTAACTGAATTACAATTGGGTTCTTCCTTAAATAGTAGTGCATGTGGTTATTAAATTAAAGTTAAGTTATTAGTTGTAAATTATTATTGAAGTAAATTAACACTACACACTGTATTAAGAGAGCGAGACAGAGATAGTAATTTAAGTATACGATGCTGATGCTACACTTACTTCTTCAAATTAGGTATTTCTTTTATCATTAATTGGCAAGTATTTGTCTTTCCATTCTCCTGTACAATAAATGACACAATAAATTGCTGACCAAAAGACATATCCTACTCTCTTTACATGTACATGTGTGTATATATATGTAATGTACTATAGTGTGCATTGTGTCTTACCACAACGTTTGTTAGCATGTGTTTCTGTTCCCGCAATATTTGCCAGATATTTCAGCAAGTGCATTTGATGGGACCTCAACAGACAATGCAGTTATGCCTATAATAGTATTGTAATAATAACAATGCTGATGTATACAGCTGCTCACTTGCGCTAACGCGAGAAAGAGTGAAGACATGTGAGACTGAGAGGTATACCTAGAGAAGAAAAAAGAAAGAACAAGAGTTAGACATACAGTACACATATACATGAGGAGGAGAGAAAAGCAAAAGAGAGAAAGAGACATCAAGAGACAAAGATATACAAAATAGGTGTCAATTAAGGAACACAAAAATGAGGCAATGGATACATGTATTTTTAAAAAGGGAATAGTTTTGTGTTATGAACCTATAGTAACATTACAACATGCATTATGCAGCTTTACTAAACATTATAATACCATGTAGCAAATAATACTTAGACTACATGATTAATGACTGTGGAACTTCAATGCATAAATCATGAGGAATCGTCTGAGACCATACATGTACAAGTAACAATCACAATGACTACCATAGACAAGGCACTCTGGGCATAACTGTTATAATGGAGATTTCAATTGTAAGCAGTTACACTATTAATGATTTAATTTATAAAACTTTCAACAAAGCATTATTTCAGTTCAATTTATTTACCAAAAGTTTAGCTACTCAATAAACATTTTTGATAAGGCCTAAATGTTTTTTCCATGCTTAAAATTCATCCTATACAGGTATAATATTATAGTATAGGTAGGTGAAGCCAGATTATAGGTAAAACTAAATCAGGTACAATTATACTGTATCATCAGACCCATAACCCAATTATTGTACAATGACAACACAGTATAGACCTGTATAACAATTTCCAGGCCTGGTGGTCCCAAAGTAGTTTTAAAATGAGTACAAGTAGTGTGGTACCAATAGTATCTTCAATGTTCAAAGTACACAAAATTTTACATGCATTATGTAGCATGCATGGATTACTAGGTGTATTATGTCAGTGATACTATACAAGGAATAAATTGAACAAAAACGTAAAATTGAGTATTGCATTATCATTACCATTCAATTCTACTAGAAAATGCAAAATATTAAGGGCCCATTCCATTCAAATATATTACTAGATGGATCATGAGATGAAAAGCAGGCTACAGCTACATGTGTAGCTCCATAACAGTCATGTTAGCAATTATACATATACATTTATCATTGACTTATTATGCATTACAATTGAAATATCATCTGAATGATGACAAAGCATGATGTGGCACAATATTGCTGATGCATACTAGTCTAGTTCAGGCTCAGACATTATTTACACAATTGAATACATGTACAAACCAGGTGCTAGGCTGCAGGAAATCATCAGAGGTGAAGACTGAAGTTTTTAACATACCATCACCTTTATTGCAACCTTCATGTGGCTTGCTCCGATGCATAATGGCATACAGTACTAAAGGCCTTCTTTCTAGGGGCCATTCTTATAAATAAGGGGTTAAATTCAATACATAACTAGTTAATAACCGAAACTTTGTGATGGGAGGGTTCCGAACTTTTCCTATATATCTGACCAGAAAAGACAGTGTACGAACCGGGTGCACCCAGCTCAGTTCAGTCTGTGGCCACGTGTCTGTTCCTTCATAAAGAAAAGCTTTCTCTGGTGTTATTGATGGCAGACGAGGAGCCAAAGCTCAGCAAGAAGTGAATATACTTTTATGATTTGTTTAAATAGAGTGAGGATAGAGTTTGATAATGAAGAGACTGTTGTTGACAGGCCGCCGGACATGTTCCTCATCATTTCGTCACTTCTTCTCACCTTCTAGTGCTTTGAAGAGAAACCTCAAAGCTGAGAAGAAAGCCAAAGAGAAGGCAGAAAAGCAAGCAACTTTAGTAGAAGCAACTGAAAATGCTGTAAGAAGTTAAAATAGAAAGATTTTATATTTTTACACCTATATGTGTTTTAAAAGCTAAAGTATTATTATTATTATACTTTTAGTCAACCTCGTCGGCTAAGAAATCGGCTCTTGACAGTGAAAATATTGATCCTAATGTAAGTAATGGAGTAAATAATACCTAAAGAGAGTATCCAACGGCCCTATTGTGTGGATTTCTAGGAAGTCACGTTCAGCATACTTCAATAGCTTTCAATAGCTTTCAATCAATGTTTATACAGATGTGTTTTTATAACAACATTTATTATTGATAATATACAGAATATCCAGAACGTGACTTCCTAGAAATCCACACACTTGCAGCAGCTGAGATGGGGCCCGTTGGATACTCTCTGTAGGTATTATTTACTCTTGATGTAAGTAATGGAGTAAATATTATATCCATTGAGCTATTGTCCTGCCCTTGTTTCTGTCTCTCTAGCAATACTTTGCTTTGCGTAGTCAAGCCATACAAGCACTGAAAGAGACAGGGCCTCATCCTTATCCTCATAAATTTGCCGTTACCATTTCACTAACGGACTTCATTGAGCAGTTCAAAGACCTCAAGGATAGCGAGCAACTCCCAGACCTCTCCTTTAGCCTAGCAGGTGAATAAATCTTGTATTTATGGTTTATTTATATGTTTGTTGCACTTTTTGTTGTTTTTTTATTTATTTTTATTTATTTATATATATATATATTTATTTATTTATTTTAGGTCGTATTCATGCTAAAAGGGAGTCTGGGTCTAAGCTTATCTTCTATGATGTGAGAGGTGAAGGGGTTAAAATTCAAGTTATGTGTAATGCAAAGTTAGTGTCATAATTGATGGAAAAATGTACTCCGTTTAATAATTATAATTATAATTAGGTTCACGGATCAAAATTTTGAAGAATTACACAGTCAAATTAAAAGAGGAGACATAATCGGGATCACTGGTTTCCCTGGTAACTGATTATTATCATTATTATTATTATTATTATTATTATTATCATTATTATTATTATTATTATTATTATTATCATTATTATTATTATTATTAATTGTCCACGCCTCCTATCATCGCTCATAGGTAAAACGAAAATGGGAGAGTTGAGCATAATCCCACGTCAGGTCCAACTGCTCTCTCCTTGTCTTCACATGTTGCCTCACCTTCACTTTGGACTCAAAGACAAAGAGACACGCTTCAGACAGCGTTACCTTGATTTGATCATCAATGGTAACGTACGAGACAAGTTTATACTTCGGGCCAGATTGATAACATACTTAAGGAGGTTCATGGACGAATTAGGTGAGGGTTTGTCAGAAATTGAGGGTGATTCTTTTTGATATACATGCATGTATATGTTCTTATGTCATGTAGAAAGTTTGAGCTGATTTAGATCAAGTTTGGATTTTTTATGAATTTTTTAAAATTGCTCCAAAATTTTGCCAAAAATGAAAAAGAGAGATTTCCCCATTTTTATAACATTCCCTGATACATATACATGTTCTTATGTTGTGTAGAAAGTTTGAGCTGATTCCGATCAATTTTGGATTTTTTATGAGTTTTTAAAGTTACTCAAAAATCAGGTCAAAATCCCTGTACTATATATAGTACAGGGATTTTGGCCAAATTTTGTCAAAAATGAAAAGGAGAGAATTTTCCATTTTTATAACTTTTCATAATACATATACATGTTCTTATATCATGTAGAAAGTTTTAGCTGATTTGGATCAAGTTTGGACTTTTTGTGAATTTTAAAGTTACTCCAAATGCTATTTATTGCTTATTACATATCATTGTGTATTATATCGGCAGGATTCCTCGAGGTTGAGACTCCTATGATGAATATGATAGCAGGTGGTGCTTCGGCTAAACCGTTTGTAACGCATCACAACGACCTTGACATGGACCTCTACATGAGGGTAGCTCCTGAGCTCTACCACAAGATGCTCATCGTTGGAGGAATTGACAGAGTCTATGAGGTTGGAAGACAATTTAGAAATGAAGGTGAGATTGGAGAAGGAAAGAACTAATGATTAAAAAATAAAATAAAAATGAAAATAATAAAAAATATTTATTTTAAAACAATTTTAAAACTAACTGACATCCTTTTAATAATCTAATTTTTTTATTATTAAAAAGGTATTGATCTGACTCATAACCCTGAGTTCACTACATGCGAGTTTTACATGGCCTATGCTGATTATAATGACCTCATCAACATCACTGAACAACTTGTATCTGGTATAATACGACACATTATTATTAATAGTTATTAAGTTGCTTCCTTATTAGGAATGGTGTTTGAGGTGACTGGTGGGTACAATGTGACGTATCATCCTAACGATGATGATCCTTCGCAGGAATTTAAAGTTGATTTCTCTCCGCCATTTAGGAAAGTGAAGTATGTCAAATAGACTGAGGACATACTGTACAAGTTATTTATATTTTTTATTGTTCTTCTCTCTCTTTATTCTTCCCCCCTCACTTTCTTTTAGAATGATACCAGAGTTAGAGAAGCAGCTCAATGTTACGTTTCCTAAACCAGATACTTTCCACACTGAGGAATTCCGTCAGTTTCTTGATGATCTTTGCACTAAGAATAACGTCGATTGCTCGCCTCCTCGTACCTCGTCAAGACTCCTTGACAAAGTGAGGAAAGACCATTTTGTTTCACTACTAATAACAATTATGTTTATTTAATTATTATTATTATACCAGCTGGTAGGAGACTACATTGAAGTCAATTGCATCAATCCAACTTTCATAATGGAGCACCCACAAATAATGAGTCCACTAGCTAAATGGTATTGCAGTATTTATTCACTACTGGACAAGATATGAATCTTCCTTCTTTGTTTCTCTTCCTCCTCTCTCTCTAGGCATCGATCAATCCCTGGGCTGACAGAAAGGTTTGAACTGTTTGTGTGTCAGAAAGAGATTTGTAATGCTTACACTGAGTTGAATGATCCTGTCGTACAGAGATCTACTTTTGAACAACAAGCAAAGGTTAAATAATAGTACACATTTTAATAATGATAATAATAGCAATCATATTAACAGGATAAGGAAGCTGGTGATGATGAAGCACAAATGGTTGATGAGAACTTTTGTACTGCTCTTGAGTATGGACTCCCGCCCACTGGTGGGTGGGGCATGGGAATAGACCGTCTAACCATGTTCCTCACTGATTCTGCTAATATCAAGGTATACTGAACAATGGATCCATTATCACCAGTAGTGATGGTCAAAACAATCTTTTTACTTGTAGGAAGTATTGTTCTTTCCAGCCATGAAACCAAAGGACGACAAAGAGAGACCAGCTGAAGTCACTCCGCCTCAAACTAAATGAACCGCTAATAATTTAATGAATAATTAATTATTAATGAATATTAGTTGGCTTCTGTTTGATTGTCTCAATGTCTTCTAATTGCCGAGAATTGGTCCATTAATTGTGGATATAAAATCATGATAATTGTGTTTACCTGACAAACATTCCTTACAGTATCTGTCCTCTGAAAATTTATCACTTTTGATGAGGTGGAACATTATTCGTTAAGGATCCTTAAAATTCATAAAAAATTCAAACTTGATCTGAATCAGTTCAAAATGATTTTTTACAAATTAATAATACATTAAACCATTAAATAATAATAATACATTAAACCATTAAATAATAATAATGCCAGTAACGATGATACAAAATAAGTTCCATGAGAATGTTAACATGAGAGAGTTAAAAATTACATCAAGACTGCGTGGGCGTATGATACACAATGAGAGCTGACGTTACACAAAGTACCTTGCAATGTGACACAGTACCAGTTTCTCAACAAACAACTCGTTATCAAGCATTGCTATATGAGCTGCTCGTCCTATCACTGAATGGGCTGAGGTGGGGAGAGCATGGTGGACAGTAACACGGGTTAAATTCACTCCAAACTGTTCCATGGACGTCATCATACGACTAGCCATCTCCTCATGGACCTTGTCTAGAGCAGTGGTTCCCTCTCCCCCGGTACACAGACGAGCTGATTGAAACGGCACGTACTTGTCTTGAGGAGAAGAGAGCAACATGACATGTCTGAAGCACTCAAAAGTCTGAGCCTCGCTCAGCTGGTATAGGAATGTATCTCTGAGGTTCGGCGAGTCTTTTAGGGAGAGTTGTAGGAGAGACTGGGACTGGTACCACTTTCTGACGAGCCACATCCCAGCACTAACCATACCTGTCTGATACTGTGTGCCTAAGTGAGGGCCGCATATTGAGAGCAAGAAATGAAAGGAGGGGATGAGGTGAGCAATGGCTGGTCGAGTTATGAGAGACCGGACTACTATACCGCCGAGAGAGTGGGCGAGGAAGCTTATGTGGGTTGGTGGGTGTGACATACCTAGTAGCTTAGAGAGGAGTTCGTCCTGAAGTTTGTCAGTCATTATGTTAAAGTCTGTAAAAGTGTCCAGCTGGTTAGCTTGTGACATTAGGAACTCAATCTTCTGATGAGGGAGGGCTAGCTCAAGGTATGTTCGATAAAGGCGGAGGTCAAACTGGTTGCCTTGGAGACCGTGGACACACACCACCAGGTGTCGAGCTTGGGGTGCTACCTGTCTCCGTTGACGACGGTTGCCTGGCAACGCCCTTAGGAGATAAGGCGAGAGTTGATCTTGAAAATTGTAGCGTTTCTCAGGATCATTGTCAGCCACACCCCCTCTCCTCGTCAACCAGGGACACACCTCCACAAACACTATACTGGCGTTAGATGAAGTCTCAATATTCTCAATGCAGTGAAGAGGAGGTAGGTTAGTTAACCCTTTACGAGTCTGGGCAGCCATATTTGATATCCACTGAGAGTTGGAATGATCAACATGACTCTTTCCTTTGCTGTCATGATTATCATCTGACCACAGGAAGGACTTCTTAATGTATTTCAACTTCTCTTTGTGGGCAGTCACTAACAAATGATCTATTGTGTCAGGATGGCTCAGGGCGGAATTACAGAACCACTCCCACGTTGCTTGCAGCTGTAGTGACAGCGAGACCATATGCACCTTACACTCTTCCTCTATCTCATCAAGAGTCACCCCCTCTTCATACGGGCCGCTAGAAGTTGCTTGAGACAAGTCTTCAACCCCACTCATCTTTTGAAAGTCTTGTCTGAGACTGTCCCGTGCCAGCGTCAACACATCAGCTATTGATTGATGCACCTGTCGAGCTCTCCTAACCTGCTCAGTAGGTGCTGAATATACAGCTGCAGGATCACTTCTATCGCTGCCTACCAATGAAAATGGCGGCGATGAACAGCCACCAAATAATAGTGTGCTATATGATATGGGAGGGGTCAATCTGGGTGTGGCTTGATTCAAAAACCAACTCCGCCTACGTCCTAGTGCTGGTTCTTCAGTGATGGGTGTGTCAGGAGATATGGAATATAACGATGCGTGGGCAGTGATACCAATGGAAGCCATATGGAAGTAATCAAAAATGACCGGCCAATGACAATGCAGGCCACGCCTCCAATCAAGAGTGAGGCTTAGGGTCCGAGTGGCTACTTTATCAAAAGTTGTTGGGTCCGAGGGAAGTTCCTCCTCTCCATTGAACATTAGATCCAGCGTGAGGGTCAGTTGAGATGGTACGTATACCTCAGTGTGGTCTGTTCGTATTGGATAAACATATTTAAAAAGGAAATACTCTCCCAAGACAAAGGACTGGTCGGTGTACTCTATGAGACAGGTCTGAGTGATGAATCTGTCCTCTAGTTTTGTCGCTCCGGGGTACGTGTGTTCTGAGAGGCCGTTCAGTTCTGTCCTGAAGGTCCCTCTACGTGGCCTTGAATGAGCCGAACCAAATATATCTTTAACCTCAAGGGGAGAGGCCGTCCCTTTTTGAAGGGAGTCAGACAGACGACATGATATGTAATAGTGGCCTCTTTTGAAGAGGTCAATGTTAACGAGAGGAGAAAGAGAGACGAGGACCCGTCCTTCTACTGTAGGCATATTGAGTGACTGACACTAAAATGGCCTTTGCCTTTCCCTAAAATTAATAACTTTAATAACTAGAATCACTAAACTTAATAAGCCGTCTGCGCATGCGTACTATTAATTCCCGCGTACTCGCTGGCCCCAACGCTACCTACAGTCATTGGGGTGGCCTCCAAAAGAAAAGGCCATACTTGGCAACTGATACAAATTGAATTAGGCTATTGCAAGTATTACAGCAATGATGCAATAGCTAGCACTTTTGCACACGCTACGTGACATCAATTATTATGATTAGTTGATTAAAGAAGCTTCATTCAACTAGAAAAAATAAAACCGTATGATGAGGAAAAAAAATAACTCTTAGACTGATCAAACTAATCAAACTTAAGAACTAGCAAAATCATTAATAAACTTTTGCACTAAAAAACAAATAAACAACCTATAAAGTCTATTCTACTAAGAGTCACTGGTGCATGGATGCAGTCACAAAATTTCTAAAAACTATAGATCTTTATAGCATTTCCTTCAAAATCAACAACCCAGAGTCTTCCGTCTGAAGCAACAGCAACATCAGATGCACCAACCAATCCGTGTAGAGTTTTGATGACACTTCCCTTACTGAGGCTCATCACGACAACCTTTCCAAGGCCTTTTCGCCTCTCAGTTACATAAAGGTTGTCACCATTGATGTGTATTCCTTCTAAGCTATGTATCTTTACAGGAACTTTAATTTTTTTAATAATGTTTCCACATTTATTGAAGACTATTATCGTATTAGTATAGTAGTCACCAACATAAAGGTTGCCTTGTTTATCAAACTGAATCTTACGCAAGTATCCAGCCTTTCCAAGAAAGATAGAGTGAGATTTTGTCCCATCACGATTAAATACTTGTATACGACCAGTCCTCCATTCAGTGGCATACATGATGTCATTTTGATCGACAGCAACTCCAACTGGTTCCTTTGAATATTGAACTCCAAGAAGTTCCCCACTAGTTGAAAAACTGTATATTTCACGTCTATGATTAGTAACTAGGACTTTGTTCCCTTCAACAAAGAGACCAGTAGGATTTCCAGAGGGTATTCTAAACTTTCTAAGTACTTTTCCTTGCAAGTTCAAGACAATGATGTTACGTGTTCCATACTCTGTCACAAATACTTCTTTGTCGACAATTTGAATGTAAAACGGTCGTGAGAAGGTGCCTGGTACCCTTGACACTCCCTGTTCACTTGCATCAAAATCAATATCTAGAAGATTCATTTTCTTATCCTTTGATTGTGGGAAACTATTTCGGTCGACAGATTCAATGGCACTAGATGGTGCCTGGTTTCCATTTCTGTCTGCATTATCTGTCTCGAATAAAGGCTCTGCAGCATACTCTCCATTATTGAGCTGAGACTTTTGCATGAGCTCATCTTTATCGGGCCATTGAGCATATGCTGCAGCTGCAAAAAGGACTAGTATTATCACCTGATTGAAATTCATCATGAGTAACTGATGACAGTGTGAGCTGCTGCCTTCAGTTTTATAGAGCAAAAAACAGGAAGTGGTTATTGTTTCCTGTTTACCAAAAACTCTCTCTTCTCTTCTAGCAGCTGTTCTTGTTGATTGGTAAGCCCTTGAAATGAGGTCTCTCACACACACGTACTACTAAATACTATTCCAGCTAAAGTGGTTAGGCTCTGACAGATGGTCCAGCCAAAGATACCATACAGACATTGCAGAACTATGGATACCCTACATCATTGCTAAAGCATTGGATTTGGTGGTTACTCACAACAGCTGTGGAGTAATTGAATTATGAATCACGATGGAGCTATAGCAAATTAGCAACCAATAGGTTCTAGAGCTTTGGATACCATATACATATACATCCCAGTAAAATACACTTTAGGATGTAGGAAATAATTAGTGCACCCACAATAACCAGTCTCACCATGATAAACAATTATAATATTACTCATAGATATCTGATTGAGTTTACTATAGCTACATGTATTACTTTATTAATATAATAACTATAGTCTAGAGTTCTATTAGAATATTCAGATATCTATGATAAAAGGGACAGTTTAAATTATCTGTTGACTGTATGACAAAATAATTGAGACACTTAGCGTGATAATAAATTAAGTTTACTTATGGGACAGTTATATCTATATCATCATGATGCTGCATCTGGTGAAACAGTAGCTCCACCTCCTCCTCCATCTTTCATTCCTTCTAAACCTTTTGGTAGACTAGTGTCTTCATCAAGAGACCCAGTTCCTTCCACAAACTCCTCGTAAGTTGATTTCTCTGGGAAAGGCCTTGGGCCTAAAAGTTCTATCATATCTTCACGTTGAAGAACCTCTTGCTGTAATAATCTCTCGGCCACTTTGACGACAGACTCTCTCTTCTCTTCTAACAGCTGTATCGTTGATTGGTAAGCTCTTGAAATGAGGTCTCTTGCTTGATCGTCTATCAGTTGAGCTGTTGCTTCGCTGTAAGGTTTCTCAAACATTTGGTCGCCTTCACCGGGAAGGTCAAAGGAAACCTGACCAACCTCATCATTCATACCATATTTGGCAATCTAAAAATATATATAAAATTAAAAAATAAGTGTAGAAACCAAGGTGATCATGTGTACACAAGTCCTGTGAGATAACTGGTCAAGAGCATAGCCCGAGACCACTTATCACTTGTTTGAGGTGGGGATACCATGGATGCATAGTGTAGCCAGAGCCATAAAAATAATTGCTAAAAGGAAAGTAATTATAGTATAATTAGTGAAATATGCAGCACGCTTGAAACTAATAGCAACCAATTAAAAATAATAGGCTCTAAAATTTTGGATGCCATATACATCTATCAAGAGCTAAAAGGTTTGAAACTTGATACTGTTACATGAACGTGGAGTTGACCCAGTAAAGTGGTTAAAGTGGTTAGGCTTCGATCCAGCCAAAACACATTAAAGATGCAGAACTATGGATACCCTACATCATTGCTAAAGGATTGGATCTGGGGTTACTCTCAACAGCTGTGGAGTAATTGAATTATGTACCAGGATGGAGCTAATAGCAATTAATTAGAATAATAGGTTCTACAACTTTGGATACCATATACATACAAGTACGCCTATCAAGAGCTAAAGGTTTCCTGCTACATGCACATGGAGCTATATCCCAGTAAAATACAATGTAAGATGTAGCAAATAATAAGTAAATGTGCAATAATAATTGTAAAGGCTAAAATTTTAAATACCATATACATGTACATCTATTGAGGGCTACACTGGTTTGTAACATTATACCAGGTATGTGCAGCTGCCTCCCAGTAACATGTGGTATACGATGGAGCCAATTAGAATTAGAACACAATACACTAAAGTACGTGTACATGTGTATCACTAAAAGACACAACGGTATTGTGATAAGATAGTACAGTTAATAGTTTACTTGTGAATAAGCCATTCCTGTCACCTTTTTAAGGTCATCATGAGCTCCTAAATGATAATAATAATAATAAGAAGAAGAAGAAGAAGAATTCGTTTGTTTTGTTTGTTTCTTGTTTACCTGTTGTTATTCTACCAAAAAACACTTGCTCGCTGGCTCTGCCGCCTAGAATCATGCACATTCTGTCAAACAGCTGGAGAGGGAGAGAGAGAGAGAGAGGGAGAGAAAGAGGTAGAAATGAAAGCTCTAGAGCTAAGGACAGTATATTATGTACACATGTACATTGCAGAAATGACCATGAACATAATGTACATGTACATGTACATGTATGTGTGTATATAAGTACCTCTTCAGTTGTGTAGATGTGTTGTTCTCTTGGTAGATATTGAGCATAACCAAGTCCCTTACCTCTTGGTATTATAGAAACCTACATATACATATATATGTACATTAATTGTGATATTATATATTCTGTCTCTCTTTACTTTCATTAATGGGTCAGCGTATCTCATGAACCAACCCACCACAGCATGTCCAGCCTCATGGTAAGCGATGACTTTCTTTTCCTCTGGTTGTATGACTAGTGTCTTCTTCTCCAGTCCTCCTATCACTCGTTCAATGGCTTGTTCAAAGTGAGTCATAAGGACGTCAGTGGCTAAATACCGAGCAGCTATGAGAGCTGCTTCATTGCAGACGTTAGCAACATCAGCACCAGTGAATCCTGGAGTACGGGCGGCAAGCTTCCTAGCTAGATCATCAATGTTTAGACTTGTTTTGATTGGTTTGAGATGCACACGAAATATTGAAGCTCTATAGGAGAATGGGCAATGATGTGTTAGCACAAAAATGATAAAACCATTTTTTGAATATTGGCCAATTTTAAAATGGCCATAACTTGAAAATTTTTTGTCGGAATCGCCTCAAACTTTCTACACAGCATAAGTACATCAATATGAATCAGGAAATGTAATAAAAATTAGGGGTGATTTTGGAGCCATTTTTCAGAAAAAACCATGGGCTATAGTACAGGGAATTTTTCAGAAATTGGCTTGTTTTTTAAAATGGCTGTAACTCGAAAAATTCTTGTCGGAATCACCTCAAACTTTCTACACAGCATAAGAACATCAATATGTATCAGAAAATGTAATAAAAATTGGGGGTGATTTCAGAGCCATTTTTTGGAAAAAACCATGGGCTATAGTACAGGGATTTTTTCATAAATTGGCTCATTTTTTAAAATGGCCATAACTCGAAAAATTCTTGTCGGAATCACCTCAAACTTTCTACATAGCATAAGGACATCAATATGTATCAGAAAATGTAATAGTTGGTACATGTGTAGGTGCCATACCTTCCCTTGATGTCAGGTGGTGGTAAGTATATTTGTCTGTCAAAGCGACCCGGCCTCATCAGTGCAGGGTCAAGGACATCAGGTCTGTTAGTACCAGCCAGCACAACAACATTAGTAGTTGTATTGAAACCTAATGTATAGGTATACATACATGTACATATATATATACACATGTAATTATGATGAATATACTTATCTACATTGATCTCCTTACCGTCCATCTCCACTAGCAGCTGGTTGAGTGTATTTTCTCTTTCATCGTGTCCGCCAAAACTTCCCTTCCTCCCTCTTGCCCTACCCACAGCATCAATCTCGTCAATGAATATGATACAGGGAGCATTCTTCCTCGCTTGAGAGAAGAGATCTCTTACCTAAACAGAATTAATTAAATCCTTGAGTTATGGACATTTTAAAAGATCGGCCAATTTCAAAAAATACCCTGTACTATAGCCCATGCTTTTTTCCAAGAAATGGCTCTGAAATCACCCACAATTTTTATTATATTTTCTGATATATATTGATGTCCTTATGCTACGTAAAGTACTAAGCTGGTATCATAAAGTGGAGTCCTGATCATTATCACTATTATTATTATTATTATTAAACAGCTGCCGCTTACTCTGGCAGGTCCAACTCCAACGAACATCTCCAGGAACTCAGACCCTGATATACTGAGGAAAGGCACTCCGGCCTCACCAGCTGTTGCTTTAGCTAGCAGCGTCTTACCAGTACCAGGAGGACCACTGAGAATAGCACCCTGTAATAGTAAAAAGAAATGACAATTACATGTACATGTACACACACAATACATGTACATGTACATGTATAGTATATATAATGGTACTAAAGGTACATGTGTATAGGAATAGGTTGGTGTGAATATACTTTTGGTATTTTAGCTCCGAGATCAAGATACTGTTTGGGATTTTTCAAGAAGTTGACAAACTCCATTATTTCAACTTTGGCTTCTTCACAGCCAGCGACATCACTACAATGAGAGTATTAGGAGAAAATTAATTGAAAAATAAAATTAAAATGTAACAAATAATCTTACAGCTATACATGTAATTCAATAAATTTTTAAATTAAAAATTGACTGACTGACCCAAATTTGGTCTTAATGTTAGTTTCCTTGTTAATGAACTTAGCTGTTGATTGTCCCACACCAAATATACCCTAATTAATAATAATGATGATAATAATAAAAAGGGTGTGGTTAACTTACACCACGCCCACCTCCACTACCAGAAGTCAACCTCCGACTGAAGTAGAAGATTGCCCCAAGAACAAGCATAGAGGGAATCAACTTTATGACCTCTTTACTGAAAATGGAGAAAAAATATTGACAATTAATAAAATTACAGTACGCCCCCACATATTGCTTTTATAACTTACAGTAGATTAGCTTCAGCTACATAAACCACAGGGATGTGGTTAGCTGGAGTCACTCCTAACTCATTCTGAGCTTGTTCAAGATTCCTCTCAAATGAGTCGACACTGCCAATATTAAATTTCAGAGAGCTTCGTTTCTATATGTAGTACAAGTGATATGGGGGTGGGGTCAGTAGTTAAGTAATAACTTACACCAGTCAAATGGCCACTGTGTAAATACACCCGTACTATACTGCGATTGACAACCTCAAGGTGATCAACCTAAGGAGGAAGAGTGCCGTTAATAAGCATGTACATATTGGTTTTAAAATGGTGGAGTTTTTAATTAATGGAAAATGAGAAAGCACCAAAATCTAATCCATCAAACAGTCTCACTTATCTTCCTAATCCCTCCCCCTCTCTCTCTCACCTCTCCCCCTCCCCCTCTCTCTCACCTCTCCCGTCTCAAGGTATCTAGTACGAAACTCTTGCCACGATATTTCTTGACCGTCAGACGAACGAAAGAGGAAATACCCTCCAGCTACAGCAATGATAAGAGAGAGCCACATTCCCCTGTGCTCTGGCTTCATGATCTCCTCTAGCCAGTTCTTGTTCATCCAGTCTCCTCTTCCTTTGTTATTCGGAGAACCTCCTGAGGAACCGGAACTCTCACTGTTGCCCTTCCCTCCTAATTAAAAATGCAGTTTATTAATATAATATCAAAATGAACTACAACCTTTATGAATTTAAGACAGTCTCAACTAGACGGCAAGGGTTACATTAGGGTTTCCCACAGGTTTTTGGCATAGTGCTCAGCATCTTAATGGTAGATTTTTTAGTCCCTGTACTAAACTGTAGAGTACAAGGATCTTGGCCATATTTTGTCAAAAATTAAAAGGAGAGAATTTCCCATTTTAATAACTTTTCCTGATACATATACATGTTCTTATGTTGTGTAGAAAGTTTGAGCTGATTCCGATCAAGTTTGGATTTTTTATGAACTTTTAAAGTTACTCAAAAATCGGGCCAAAGTCCCTGTACTATAGTACAGGGATTTTGGCCAAATTTCATCAAAAATGAAAAGTAGAAAATTCTCCATTTTTATAACTTTTCCTAATACATATACATGTTCTTATGTTGCATAGAAAGTTTGAGCTGATTCCGATCAAATTTAGATTTTTTTCTACGAATTTTTAAAGTTGCTCCAAAATCAGGCCAAAGTCCCTGTACTATAGTACAGGGATTTTGGCCAAATTTCGTCAAAAATGAAAAGTAGAAAATTCTCCATTTTTATAACTTTTCCTAATACATATACATGTTCTTATGTTGCATAGAAAGTTTGAGCTGATTCCGATCAAATTTGGATTTTTTACAAATTTTTAAAGTTGCTCCAAAATCAGGCCAAAGTCCCTGTACTATAGTACAGGGATTTTGGCCAAATTTCACCAAAAATGAAAAGTAGAAAATTCTCCATTTTTATAATGTTTCCTGATAGATATACATGTTCTTATGTTGCGCAGAAAGTTTGAGCTGATTCCAATCAAGTTTGGCTTTTTTATAAATTTTCAAAGTTGCTCCATGCTACTTAGCATGTGCTTAGTAAGAAACCCTGGGGCTACATACATGTACATTAATAACAAGCAGTGCGTTACTTTAAAACCCCTCCCACCTCAAATACTCTAAGCAATACCTTTCGATTCTTTCTGTCGCCCCAATTTAAACCTTTCAAATCCTAAAAATACAATAATTATATATGTTATACATATATGCCAATTCCCAATGTTATTATTCTATACCTTTATTTGAGTAATTCCTCAATGAAATAGCATTCCGTCTCAGAGTAGGGATTAGAAGGACACGAGGCAGCAGTCCTGGCTGCCTCAGCCCAAGAGAAAGATACGAGAGCATCTTGTTGATGATATTTCTTTCTATTATTTCATTAAGTTACATAACCTCCATCTTGCATCAGTGCAAAAAGTTGTGGGTGTGGTTTTTATAATATAGTCTAGGCGTGGTCATGGCATCAAAATGGCGGCTACTCAATTCTCATCATTTCATGAAATCCCCTCTTCTCTACAGAATCAGGCACCACTCAGATGGTGGAGGAATGGTACTGCAGACGACTCTGAGTCGTGTTAGTGTAGAAGAGGCTGCTCCATTGATATCAGGATACAGCGTGCAGGGATTCAATCTAAGAGGTGTTCAAGTCATGGGCTCCGTCGCTTTGCTACCAAGAGGATTCTTCCACTGGAAGATTAACAGTGCTGATGCTATAACACCTGAATCAATGAGTATATTCACTCTTATTGAACCCAAATTAGGTTTGATATTGTTAATATTATATATTTATTCACAGTCATTATTATTATTATTATTAAACTGCACTTTAAAGTATTTTTTATTAAAAATTTATATTATTGTTTTTATCATTATTGTTATTGTTTATTATTATTATCATTATTTATTTATTTTCAAACAGAGCTAGTTATCCTTGGTACCGGAAGTAGAATGGTCAATATTGATACTGCAGTGAAGAGGTACCTGCAGGGCAGAGGAATCAGTGTTGAGATACAAGACACAGTAAATAATGCACTTTATTATTAATATCATTTAACACTATCTCTTTTAATAGGCTAATGCTTGTGCAACATTTAATTTTCTTCTTGATGATGGGAGATTAGCAGGAGCTGCTCTCATTCCACCAGAAACTGTTTCATTTATTCAACGTAGATAATATTATTATTATTATAGCATTAAAAACAATGTAATACTTTAGTGTCAGTTCTACCTACTGTATAAATATATATCCAAAAAACTGACTATTTTGGCACCTTAAAAACACCATTTCTACCACCCACGCAATTTATGATTAAGCTCCACCCTAATGTCGAAGATCAAGAAAAGATAGCCCTCAGATAGACCTGAGAACATCAGTCATTAATTCATTATGGGCAACAATCTACAAGTAAGCTTACTTAATACCGATTTATAGATTAGCTTTGACATCATGTCATTAACAGGCCCAGCAACAAGTCTCTGATCCAGCTCCTTGGCCCGCAGGTAACATATTAAGTTCACATTTAAATGTCAGTTTATACTGCTTTGTTCCTTGTAGAGCTTGTCAATGCTTTCGCTTCACTTGTAGCTAAAGTAAAGTCTAAATCAAGCGAGACAATATCAGACCTTTCAGTCCTCGTGGACTACATATGCGGGCTACCAATCAGTAGGAGCAATCATCATCAGTCCACATCATCGGACAGTCTCATTCCTCAACTGAAAGAGGCTCAAACTCTAGATAAAGTTTACGACGTGATCCAACCATTGATTAGATTCAATCAATGCGACCTGCTCAAGTGTCTTGTTGATAAATTTGGAGAGGAGGAGACCAAGAGAGAGCTGGAGGAGTACTTGTCATCAGTGGATAAGTTCAATCGAGAGATGACAGTTGACGAGTTAGTGGAACTGATGACGAAGCAACAAATTAACTGGACAGACCAAGAAAGAGAGAGAGCCGAGACAGAAGGATGCACCATTAAAATGATACTTGACGATAAGTACGGCAGGAATAATCTCGACCGGTTGCAGAAAGATGTCACTTCTATTTTCAATTGTGAGAATTATGTCCTAGCTCTTGCTGCTGCAAAGAAAGGCTCCATAGAGTTAGTGTGGTGTACTGGAGTGGGGGCTGTCCAGTACTTGACTGAAGCTGCAGTTGATAATATGGAGCTACTGAATGAGATTGGAGTAATTGAATTAAGAGTTGGAACTAATTCCATAAAAGTAAATGGAGAGGTGTGTGGAATGCACATTATAGTAACAAACATGTCTTGTTAAAATCACATTAAACTATACATGGTAGAGCATTGTAAAAATAGAAAATTCCCTCCTTTTCATTTTTGGCGAAATTTGTAAAAAAAAAATCTGAACTTGATTGGAATCAGCTCAAACTTGCTGCACAACATAAGAACATGTATATGTATCAGGAAAAATTATAAAAATGGAGAAGTTTCTCCTAGCCATTTTTGACAAAATACTCTGTATATGCTATATAAGGTATAAGAGTCTTTGGTCCAATTTCTGAGCAACTTGACAATCCACTGACAAAAAACTGCATGAGCACTTTGTCAAAATCCTGTTAGAAACCTTGTATGACCATTTCATTATAATAGCAGATCAAATTAATTAAGCAATGTGTCTGAACATTGTTAGAATGTAATTCCAGGTCCTGCATGAAAAGTCAAAATAATAATATTGATAATAGTGGCATACTATGTTGTTTTTCTAATAGGTTGATGCTAGTGAGATGCCTCCATCAAACAATGCCATTGATGAAGTGTGTGCAGACGGTAACACTACATCTCAAGAACAGGGGCTTCTCTTGAACCTGTTCCAAAATATTGCCGGATTCATGAAAGCAGGGAATTTGGAAGATGCTTCCAGGTTGCTGCACGATCCTCAGCTACCCAGTGATGACTTAGGGGAGTTATTACAAATGGTGGACGAAGAGGGTTCATCTTTACTACACATTGCTGTCACCGTCAATAACTTGGAGATGGTCAAGGTTGTTCTCACTGCTATACACAAGAGAAATGAGGAGTCATTGAAGTGGCTACGGAATGCGAAAGGAGAGTCCCCATTACACATTGCATTCCACGTTGATAGTATTGAGATTATTAAGGCATTGCTGGAATTCCCTAAAGCAGCTGTCATCCCATCTAATCACGCCAACCTACTACAGATAGCAGCCAGTGATCCTTCACCCAATTCTGTCATTAAACTCAAATTAGTCATGGAACATTCAAATGGGAATCCACTCAATCTCTATCCTGATTTCAGACAGCATTTCCCTGCCGTTCGATTCCCAAAGGCGGAGCTAGAGAGTACCATACCAGTCATTGTTGTTGGTGATTCCAATGCTGGAAAGAGCACTCTTATAAAATCCCTCCAGATCGAAGGTGTCAAGAGTCAATTCTTTCATTTATTTTTCAGTGTCTCAAACGTCAGTGCTCACAAGGCTGGTATAATTCCGACCCCATTCCAAAGTGCCTGGTTTGGGAACGTAGTTTTCTACGACCTCTCATCACATCGTGAGTTCGTACATGAGGCAATACTACACTGTGGGCACCTCTCTGATGCTGTATTCATTGTCGTTGTCAATCTTCATGACAAGACTGATGACATCACTAAGCAGCTGGTATACTGGCTCAAGTTCGTCAAGTATCATTACAACAAGGCCTGTGGGAGGTCCGACCGACTTCCTAATGTAGCAATTGTTGGTAGTCATCTTTATCAGCTGAGGTTTGGGAAGCTGGCCAATAGAGAGAGGTTTCTACATTACGCCTATCCAAGAGCTAGACCTCATTTCAATGAAGCTGATTTCAATATAATAGCACGTGAGCTGATGGACTGTAGAAAGAGCTCAGTACCTAATACCATACTCCATCTTGCTCTCTCTCATGAGTTCAAGACACTTCGGAGAAACAGGCCACAGCTGCCATCCCAAAGCTACATATTGTATGGAATGATGAAGGACTACTGCAACAAGAAGAGGGTCTCATTCATGTCTGTGTGTGAGATCCTCGTCCTCCTGGATAAGGAAGATGCTCATTGCAAGATGATTCAACCAAAAGTCATGGAAGTCCTTAGACTTTGTAAGCCACTGGGAGAGCTCAATCTCCTCCTGGTGCTTGAAAATGAGGAGGAGCTTGAGAGGAGTTGGATAGTCATTGACAGTCATTCTCTTCTCTGCAAGGTAGAGCAGGCCATTTTTACTGACGACACACCAGCTACAAATGATGGTATCCTAATGCATGATGTTCTATTGAATCTATTTGATGCTATGCCTAACGTTGATCCTGAGATGATGATAAAGCTCATGATCCATTACTGCTACTGCTCCAAACTCCATTCCACATTCTCCCCTCTTCCTTCATGGGCAAAGCACAACAGATACTTCTTTCCTCATCTCCTCCCTGAGCAGCCGATCAGCCAACCAGCACAACAAAAGTTGATGTTTGCTTGGACTCTCTCACCTTCTTCACCTTACCAATACTTCATGCCGTACTTCATTCATCACTTTTTACTGCAGCTCTGCCAAGAGCCCGAGATTTCACGAGAGAACTATGATCGTGCTCGCCGCACTTTAATCACAAGCTTCCCTGCTATTGGTCTTGAGATGGTAGTACATGTCTACTCTAATCAAGCTATCATCGTGAGCATGAGGACTGAGGGTCCCAGCTCGTCTGAAAGTATCATAAACTGCCTCCAAATGAGGAACCGACTGGTGGCTAAGATAAGAAATGTTGTTGAGGAATTGGATCCCGAAATTAAGAGTAATCTCTCGCTTAAAGAAGCTCTGATTAGTGGAAAAGATATGCGACATCCTGTCCACTATCCTGTACTACAGCCACCAAAGATAAGAGGAATCATACACTCTGAGATAAAGCAGAGATATGGTATAGATGATGTACTGAATGCAGTTAAGAATAGATCAATGAGTGTTAGACCAATGAATCATCCTGAACCACTGTCATCAGTTGAAGACCTGCTAGAGTTTGAACCTTATTTCTATCTAAGTGATGAAGTGAGATCAACTTTAAAAGATCCTGTGAATCCAGCTGACAGCATCAGTGATGCTTTCTTTGAGAGTTTAGCTAGAGACCTGGGGATGGAGAGACTTCATTTGGTTTTGTCTGCAGTTGGAGTGTCCTCCATTGATAATGAGTCCATTAGGGAGGTACCTGAGGGTAACTTTCACAGGAAGCTGAGCAGAGCTGTTAGTTTTGTACAAGGAATGGGACTAACTTATGATAGACTAAGGACCATACTGGACTCTGTGTCTTTCTTTAAACTTCATGAACTTTACTAATAGTAGATGTTGTTATAATTGTCTCAAATGTTTTATAATTAATTATTTTGAAATAACAAATTTTAATGCTATTAATAGCAGTCAAATCAAACACACACAAAAAGCATTGATGGTACAAGAACAACAAAGGTCAACTAATAATTATAATTATCGTTATTATTATAATTATTATTATTGGGTGCACGTTGGAAGTGACTCTTCAGGATCATCATTGTCACCATACATATCAAGGTCAGGATTAACATATACACACATGTAAATATCTTGAGTGAATCTACGAACATATTCTGGTATATCTCTAGCAGGAGTATTCATCAGTCGATCCTCACTAGCAGTACGGGAGTAGATCCAATCCTGTAGCTCAGCAGTAACATCAACCACTCTAGGAACATTGTACATATCATCTGTAGAATAGAGAAATAGTTATGATAATGAATCAATAGTGGTTCATCTTACGTAATCTATCAGCCATGCTATCATGAAACAGCCATTTTTCTCCTGCTCTAGTGAAGCACACATAATGACTGGTCTCAATACATATCACTGACAGCAACTCCATCTTTGAAAAATTGTTAGCATCACTAGTCCCAGGCCTAATATCTACAACTTCTACACGATGACCTTTACGCTCTCTATGTGCACTTTCGTTACACTCAGAACAGTAATAAACATAACGATCAGTAATGTTGAAAAGATCCTTAGGACAATTGTAACAAGCAGAAGATACTGAACCATTTAGACAAAATCTACATTTCTGATTTCCCCTTGTATCTATACAAAAGTTAATGACATTTAGATTTATTACAAACATTATTCCTTACTGGGGTCCATTAATGGTTTCACATCAAGTGTCAGTGATGGAATTATTTTGCTGTACATTTTGAATTCTTTACCAAAACGTGGCATCTGAAGCAACAGTTTGGAAGGAGCCTACACATCAAGTGTCATAATTATCACAAGTTATGATAAGTAACATAAACTTACTCTAGTGAATGAGATGTTTTGCTCATGAAACATTTGTGCTATCAGTTTCTCTGTTTTAGGTACTTCAGTATTATTAGGATCAATCTCAAAGAACAGCTGAATGAAAAACTCCTTTTCAACACCAAAAGGACGTCTAATGCAATTATTAATAATAAATCATTATTATTAATTAATTAATGGTAATAATAATAATTATTGATTACTTAATAGTCAGAAATGGAGGTATGTGAAGCACTTCCTTAAACAAAAGATTAAGAAATTCTTCAGGATCTAATAATAATAATACCATTAATTGATGATGTCATAGTAAGTAGTTCACCTTTTTCATCAGTTTTGGCTCCTTTCATTCTACCAAATTCTTCTAAACTATCTCTCAATCCCATTATTGACTCATATCTTGCTAATCCATGCCTACATACAGGAAAAACAAAACCAGTTATAGTAACCAGTTATAACAAGAAACACTTAACACTCACTTTCTCAATGGATTAACAATTCCTTTCCAAAGAAAATGTTTAACTTTTCTTCCAACCTCTTCAGTTGGTTCTTTGAATATCAACTCATCAAATGAATCAGATAGTGCAAATAATCCAAACACAGTGGAATCAAGGTAACATGAATTATGATGACCTTGAATACCATGTGAATTACCAATGTACAAATTGAATAGATTAGGAGATCCCATAGTGTCAATTTCTTCAGTTACTGGTGCATACTTTGATAATGCTACATGTGTAATAGAGAAGATAATAAATAAATCACACTGTATTAATAATTTAACATACGGTTATCAATATCTTGTCTCATATGTGCTGGTACTTGTCCTTCATCCATATATCTTGTGTCTTGTCTAAGAGCTGTCAATGGACAAAAGAAACCATTACCATAAGGGCAAGTAAAAAATCTTCTTCCACCCCGTGTACCATCAGTACCACCATTTATTGTTTTCTCCTATAAATGATACATACAAAATAGATTAATTAATACATGTGACATACCAATTCCACTCCAGCTATTGCTCCAGCTGGGTAGTCAGGTAGTGTCCCTATCCACTTTATTACACCATACAATGGATCACCTTTTTGTACATCAACAGACACCATTGACCCAATAGTGAACTGATGATGAGGATCAGGAGGAGGACCACCAGATGGATACTGGTTAGAAGAACCACCAGGTTGGTAGTTGTCAGAAGAACCACCATGAGAACCACCAGGTGGATACTGATTAGAAGAATCACCATAGTACTGGTTAGAAGAACCACCATGATACTGGTCAGAAGAACCACCAGATGAATACTGATTAGAAGAGCCACCAGGTTGGTAGTTGTCAGAAGAACCACCATGAGAACCACCAGGTGGATAACGATGATGAGAATCACGAGGATGATGATGATCAGGACGACCTGCAGGAAGATCAGAAGAGGGTCGATTAGGATCAGGAAAACGTCGATTAGGATCAGGTGAACGTCGATTAGGATCAGGAGAACGTCGATTAGGATCAGGAGAGTGTCGCTGATAATAATTACTATCAGGTGAAGGGAGGCTAGTGTATCCTTCTTCTTCACGATAAGGTTTTGGTGATGGTTTTTGTAATCCTTGAGAAACAGGATTGACACTTTGTTGCTGATCTTCAGGAACAGTATGATAAGGTTGAACATCTAAGTAGTTGTCGTCTGTAGGCTTAACTTCTCCTCCATTAATAATTTCATACTCAGCTGGATCACCATCACCATGTTGGCTCTGTTGTCTTGCTAGTTCAAATGCTCGTTCTTCTTGTTGTCTTCTTCCTTCACTGAGTGGCACACCAGATTCTATGTGCATCATAGACTCTGACATCTTATCCTTTTCATTTTCATTATTCTGACTCAATGCTCCAACTCCAGCAGCAGATCCTTCCTCTTCCTGTCCAGGGCCTCCTCTTGTTTGCTGGGGATGACGTGTCTTCTCTTGTTTCTTGTCCTTGTTAGCTTTCTCAAGAATTTCTTTCTGAGATCGATATTCTTCTAAACTTAAACCTACTTTCTTAGCTTTTTCAGCTTCCTGCTTCATAGCATTGGCTTCTTTTTGTTGTTTAGCATACTCCTCAACATGAAGTACGACACCATATTCCTCAGGAAGGAACAAACGAGTGTGACCAAAGCCAACTTTAAAAACTTCTTGGCCACGACTGCCAGTAATGTCAAGATACATACCAGGGAAATGCTTATCAATAGATAAAAATGTCTTTTCCTAATAATGAGACAAATAAAATGTACAATAGATATATGTATCTCACTTACCACATCAACTCCAACAGCAGCAACAGTAGATAACTTCCTGTCACTTTCATTATAAACTCTAGTTGTTCCCACCCACTTTACTGTACCATTAAACACTTCATCTCTCACTGACTTCACAATCACACGATCATCAACTTTAAAGTTTGACTTATGGTTAGGATCTGTTTTCGCATAAAACTGACTCGAAGCATCATAAACTTCTCTCTTCTCATTAAAATCTGATGTACCAGATGGATGTTTCTTGGTTGGTTCACCAGTGATAGCACTTTTTTTAGTGACAGGTTTCTCATCCATAGGATATTGAGATTTCTTTGTTATCTTATCCATAGATACAAAGACAGCATCTTTGGATCCACAAGAGAAATATGGATTGCCATTACCGGTACCTTTACCACGACATTTCTGTTCCTAATAAAGATAATTAAGTATTCAAATGCCATATAAATCCAAATTTTCATGGTCTAAATTTTTATGATTTTTATAAAATTTTAATAATCATAATCATAAAATTTAAATTTTAACCATTAAAAACTATAATACCAGTCAGTACAGTCACCACTGCAATAGCAGTCTATGTTGGTTAATAATTCATGTCATGGAAATTTTAGACCATAAAGATACTGTAGTTATTCAGTAAGTCATAACTTACTTGTATTTCAATACCAAAATATGTTCCAAGAGTCTCTTGTATAGGACCAATGTAACGTATTACACCTTTGACAATGGAAACAGGAGCATCAGGTCTCAATTTCATTTTGAACATCACCAAATCACCAGCAACCAAATCCATTTTCTCCTTCTTTATCGCATCTGATTTGAGGTATTCCTGTAATCGTGTGCCATGAGGTTCCACTGCTAATAAATATCTCATTTCTTTCTCTTGTAAAGGAGCTACATCCATATGCCCAACATGTAAAACAACGTATTCATCATCTCTATACAAACGATAATTTGGTGGAGGCTTGTCGCTCTCGATCTGACGTATTTCTTCCTTTGGTTGTTCAATTACTAGTTCTCCTTTAGGTACTTTACACTGCTGTGGAGCACCATCATCTTTATACACTAAACCGCTCTTGTCTTTCAATAAAATCGAGAGTGAAGGAGGACTATCGGCCATAATTTCAAAGGGGTTTCCCAGATTGTTATATATTCCCGTATACTAATCAGTATACCAGAACCAGATCTGCAGATCATGTACCACGTGTTAGCAGTGTCAGTGTTATTACGTTTGTTCCTATTGTCACAAGAGGCCAGTGGCTGGCTCAGCGATAGAATTGAACTATCAACACCACTCAACTCATGGACACGCTGTAAGAGACAAAAAACAAACTATTGTTTTTATAATTAATTTTAGTAAAAGAAGGTGTGGCTTTAAAGGAGGCGGGGCTATCTTCCTATCAAAGTGATCTATTTCATGAGGTGATAATGATTAAAAATTTAATATTAATTAATTTTTAAAAAATTCTTAGACCCCTCTAGTGCTGTTTTTATTTCAATATTTGCTACCCCTGGGTGACATCATTAACGGATTATTTTTTATCGTAAGTCATCATGTGACACATGGTCATGTGACATTATTACCTTATAAGGTCGCAGATATATTAATAGCATATTGCTTGGCTCAACTGACAAGATTACATCATCAGAATGAGGTATGGCATTTCTAATAATAGCACATTGTTACTAAATATAGCTCAAAAATCAAGAGCAAAGAACAAAATCAGGAGGTATAGGAAAAGGGGTGGAGCCTATTTTAATAACTCGTAACGAGTCATTACCTTCAATTGTGGCGTCAGTGTAAGTAGTGGGTGTGGTTAATTAATTATTCATAGATCATATGCTCCTCCCACTTTTATAGATATTTAATTAATCCATTCTCAATACTCTCTTGTTCTGCCCATTCCACTGTATGTTTTAATAATCTCAGCATTGTCTTTGGGTTATGGACGTCATTAAAAGGTTGGGTAATCAGTAAAATTTTTAACAATAGCCCAATAATTTTTTGTAGGGAACTGGTTCCTGTGTGGTATGGGAATGAGTCTAGCTGTACAGTTCTCTTTATATCCAGTGATGCTGTTACTACCATTGTCCCTCACTGCTTATTACGTATGTAGATAATATTATCAATGTAATGTGTGTATGTATATAGTAATGGTATATGTACTAATGTAATTAAATTTAGTTTTTTGGATGTTAATGTGCTCAGAATCAGCTCAAACTTTCTACACAACAAAAGGACATCAATATGTATCAGAAAATGTAATAAAAATTGGGGGGTGATTTCGGAGCCATTTTTCAGGAAAAACCATGGGCTATAGTACAGGGAAATTTTCAGAAATTGGCCCATTTTTTAAATTGGCCGTAACTTTAAAAATTGAAGTCAGAATCAGCTCAAACTTTCTACACAGCATAAGGACATCAATATGTATCAGAAAATGTAATAAAAATTGGGGGTGATTCTGGAGCCGTTTTTTGGAAAAAAACATGGGTACAGGGAAATTTTCAGAAATTGGGCCATTTTTAAAAAATGGCTGTAACTAAAAAAATTTTTGTCGGAATCAGCTCAAACTTTCTACACAGCACAAGGACATCAATATGCATCAAAAAATGTAATAAAATTTGGGGGTGATTCTGGAGCCATTTTTTGGAAAAAACCATGTACCGGTACTATAATTAAAAAATGGCTATAGTACAGGGGAAATTTTTTTAGAAATTGGCCTATTTTGTGAAGACCTTCTAATGTTCATAATAAAGAAATGCTTGTACATACATTATAAAAATTGTTATTATATTTTGGTATTAATACTAAAGGTCAGTTATTATTGTATGATTTTTATCAGTCCTTTTTCTCACACACACACTCACCTCTCTTTCTATCTCTCCCATTTCTTTCTCATATATACATGTACATACAGTCTGGTAGAACAAGTGGTGTATTAAAGTTCTTACTGTACACTGTGTTATGGATGATTGGCATATTGTGTGTATCTTTATTGATAACTGGCGGATCATGGGATTTTATAAATGGAGTTTATGGAGTCATGTAAGCTTTTTTATACCTCCTAATTAGAAATACACCCTCTCTCTCCCTCCCTCTCTCTCTCTCTCTCTCTCTCTCTCTCTCTCTCTCCTCCTTCCCCTCTTAGTTTACTTGTTCCTGATTTCACTCCTAATGTTGGCTTATTCTGGTATTTCTTTATGGAGATGTTTGATCATTTTCAAGTTTTCTTTCTCTGTGTCTTTCAAATCAATGCCTTTATTCATGCCATTCCACTCACCATCAGATTCAAGTAATAAATACATTAAAAAACACAGCATGTGTACATGTACAGTATAACCTCTCTTAATGGACACTCTCTATAGTGTACACCTCCATTTAACGGACAGCACCTAGTGTACCAATTACATTCCTTACTGTATAAAATAACCTCCACATAAAGGACACCTCTGTATAACAGAGACACTTTCTTGTACCAAAGTGTCCATTATATAGAGGCCATACCCTGCATAAGTAGATGCCATATTATTTAATCATCCCTTTCTCTCTTCTTATAGTCAAGACCCAATGTTCCTAGTGTATACTTTACTGTCTCTGATCTCATTATTTAAATCATACCCAACTGTTGCTGATTTCATTATACCAGTATCATTGCTACCACTGTGGACTCATGTATTCAGATGTAAGTATAATGACACACCCTCATATCCACTATCATAAAACTGACAATGATTCTACAATACAATTATTATCCTTATTTTTTATTTCATTTATTTATTTCTTTTATTCCAGATATGAGGTTCACTCCAGTTACAATAGGTTGTGTACTAGTCAGTTCAATAGCTGGACCCATCACCTGGTATCTATGGATACACACTGGGAGTGCTAATGCTAACTTCTTCTTTGCTTTAACATTAACTTATTGTATTAGTCAGATATTCTTATTGCTTGATGTGTGTCACTCATACCTCACTCATCAGTATGATATGACCAATGGACTACCTAGGACTAGTAATAAACTAGGAACTGGTCATGTCCTGTTGAAATTACAATAAACAGTGATTAATTTTGGTCAATTAAAATTGATTTTTATTTACCACACCTCTCAATACGCAATGGCTTCCATGTTACTGAAAGAAAAGAGTGGACATGGCCAGTCCCGAGAAGGAGAAGACCCCTGGGAGTGTAGAGTATTCAAAGGAGAGTTTGTTGTTCAAATACCTGAAAAGGAGAGACGTCAAATCAAGGGTGTCACTCCTAATTACCGTCTTTATCGTGATCCTGAAGTTGTGCTGTTTGCTGAACTTATTGATGTCGTTCCGTTAGAAGAAAGAGAAATAGAATATCTTCAAGCAGTACAACCAACTAGTGTAAGAGTAAAGGAATACTTAAATGAAGTGGATAAGAAGATGGATCTGATAGTTGGTGATAAGGTAATCTTCAAATTAGAGATTGCACCCAGAACAGCAACTGCATCAGTCAATGGTACAATACGTTATATTGGTCCTCATCCTGATAGTGATGGAATAGTCTTTGGTATTGAAATAGATGCACGAGTGAGTTTAATGTGTTTTGTGTTTGTGTTTTAACGCAGTTACTGCATTTTAGGATCAAGCATATCGTGGTAAAGGTACCAGTAATGGTAGTCCTTATTTCACTTGTGGACCCAACAATGCTGCCTTTGTTGCTATGGATAAGATAATCAAGAAACAAGGTGCACCACCTACTAGATCTGGTCAGCAGTTACCTGAACATCCTGTCATGGAGCAACCTATAAGAAGTCAAACAAGCCCTGCTGCCAGAAGCTATGTGCAAGCGAAACCTGGTACTGCCAGTGGTCAATCTAAAGGTGTCTATGATAGATTAAAATATTTTGTAAAAGAGGCAGTTTTCTCAGTGGAGGAGGGAGGAAGTTTTGAAGCAGGAGATGTATTTGGCCATGTGTCAAAGTTCAAAGAAGGTGATCGTGTGATAATACAGACAGTTAAAGAAGAAGTAGTTGGTGGTACAGTGAGGTGGGTGGGGCCAATTAGAGTTGCTAAAGACATGAAAGTTGACCCACTTCCAGTAGTAGGAATAGAAACAGTGAGTTTTAAAAACAGTAAGTAAGAAACAGTAATGTTTAGTGAATTAGTCATTTAGGATTTAGTATGTGAACAAATCACGAATGAACTTTTTATTTTTAGGACAAGAAAATTGATCCTTTAAAAGATTTTGATGGTGCAAATCTAAATATCACTGGTACTCATGGTACTAAGTTTTTTTACAGTGGCACATAATCACAGTCAAGTGTTCCTTCCTGAACAACTGGTACTTACTGTTGATGAGTTTAGACTACAGAAACAGAAGGATCAAGCTGCTAAATTTCAACAGGGTCAAAAAGAAACCAAACAAGATGATGCTACTGAGGCTGAGAAGAGATTAGCTGCAGAGTTTGGTATGACAGTAGCAGAGTATCGACGACAACAGCAGAGGTATGTTGATGCTGCCAAGCAAGGAAAGGATGACAGGAAGGTTTGTGTAGCTGGTGATCCGGAAATTAGAGGAGAAGAAGAAAAGTGGGCAGCAGGAGGTGGAATGATAGGAGGAGATCGAGGTAGAGGAGAAGGACTTAATGACTTAACAGATACAATACATGTAATGAATGTTGGTGTACCCGGAACAGTTATTAAAGATCGAATTGAAGAAGAAGAAAGAGCTCTTGAAGAAATGAAGTCAAAACAACGACAGCAACATCAAGAGAATCACGAACAACAGCGTGGGCAATGTGAAGATTTTCAGGTGATTGAAGGAGGGATTGAAGAGAGTATTGCAGAAGACAGTTATGTGCATTTATCACCTAATGTTTCATCTTATGAACAGGATAATGGAAGAGAAAGAGGAGATCGGGTTAGAAGAGATGAATTAACAAATGTGATACAAGCAGTGCAGTTCTCTGGGCCTGAAGGAATTAGCAAAGAACGAGTTGAAGAAGAAAGAAGAGCTATTGAAGAAATAAAAACACAACGTGAGCATAAAAGACTAACCTTGTATTTGAAAATCATTATTTTTAATTTTTAATTTAGGTTTAAAAGAAGAAATCCACCAGCTCCAGACGTCAATTGAAAATCTTCAGTTGGAGAAAGACACTCAACAAAGGAGAGCTCAACAGCAAGAACAACAATGGAGGAATGAAAAACAGCAGCTTCTGGAAGAACAGGAACGTCTGAGGGAAGAAGTCAAACAGGTGCAGGAACAACTAGAAACAGACAAAGAAAGACTAAGGGAGGAAAATGGCCACTTAAAATATGAAATTGGGCAGCTACAATATGAAAATAAGGATTTAAGGAGAGAGATTACTGACCTTAGAGAAGCTCATCATGAGCTGCAACAAGAAACAGAAAAGAAGGAGCAAGTCCAGGCACAGCTGCAGAGCCAAGTTGGTCTTTTCTCAATTGAGAACATGAGATTGAAAGGTCAAGTGAAGCAGCTGGAAGAAAGCAGTGCTACCGATATCAAGTACTGGGAGGTGAGCTATAAGCAAGTATTGACAAACAAGGACACACTTGGATCAGGAGGTTGGGGTAAAGTTGAAGTGGGTCTGTTGCATGGTCAGAAAGTTGCCGTGAAGATGCTCCACTCTGATATAAAGTCACTATATTACAACCAGCTGGTTCGCCGTGAGATAAGCATGTTAGCTAAAGTACGTCATCCAAACCTTCTCTTGTTTATAGCCGGAGTCTTGGATCATCCTTCAGGGAGTCCTATTATCAT